GAGTATATGATTGTATCATATTTAATGTACATTTTAAGTACTCACCATGGCGTTTATCCATCAACCGTATTTTCACCATCAAATCAATATAATTGAACCGAGACGTACCGTTGGGAGCCAAAGGCCCTGTGTTGAGCTCCGTACATTATTGTGCAAGACCCGTGCGAGTTCCTATTCAATTTCTTATATGGTGTAGGACGACGCACGCGCACATCCCATTGGTCGTACGACGCATACTAGCAACACGGTCGCGAATCAAACTTATAGTAGGTAACACTGATCAATTTTTTTAATATGTTTTTATTAGACGCTTGTATTAGAATATGAAGATATTTTTTCTCTTAGACGGAAGTAGCCTTATATAATTATATTGAATGAGAATATTATAAATTAAATTGGTATCTAATATTGTTAACAATCGTACTAGGCTAGTATTAGTAAAACCAATGTGTAATTCATTTCATTATATAACAATAAATTTATGCCAGTTGCATAGAATAATTTTTTTTTATAGTTTTAGGATAATAAAAATTTAAGAACAAACCTTTTCTCATATAAATATTTATATAAAATAATATGATTAAAGTTTAACTTATAAAGTGGATCCTGCCTGTTCTCAACAAAGGCATCTAGAATACCATAAGCTTAGTAGGAAGACCTATAAAGATTTAATGAAAGTTCCACACAATATCTCCGTCTATAAAATTATTACATTGCTACGTATATATTTCAATATAAATCTATAGCATTTAGTAAAAAAAAATACAGCAATTGAAGTAACTGCGAGTGAGATACGTTTCAAAGCATGTTCAAATAAAAAACAGTTTTTCCAATCAAATATGAAAGGAACACTATGACGTACTTTTACCTGTTGTATAAAAAAAAGCTTAGCGTTGCCAGAATATAACGTGGTATTTTTTCTACTTCAATAAAGTGGATTCGTACTCAATTATGTACTATCTATATCTATATATATAAAAATGAATTGTTGTTCCTTGGTCTCACTAAAACTCGAGAACGACTGTACGGATTTATCTTATCATAGTCTTGAAATGTTCGTGGAGGTTCAGGGAAGGTATAAAAGTTCAAAAAAATTGATTCATTTCTGGGAAAACCATAAAAACAGCCCTTTTCTATTTCCCATACAAACGGTTTTTTGACATTAGATTTGACAACTAACTAATATGTCAATCATTTTGTCGCACTTCAGAACACGGAGATTTATGGCTTAAAGGTAAACACCAAAAAAATAAATAAGACATAATTTATTTCTTGATTGGGGCAGTACGAAGTCTGCCGGGTCAGCTAGTAGTGTATATATTTAATTATAAACGGCTTGTTATTTCGTATAAGCTCATGTTAAATAGGAGAAATTTTCGTTTCATCACCTTTGATTCACATGACAATGCAATATAATTACATGATAGTACATATACTATGATAACGAGATGTAATTATTTTGATGTTAAATCCTCTTGAGGCGGCAAATGACTATGTATTTCATATATGTACATGAATATGCAGGTGTGTCGATCTTAGACTAGCAAGACAACTAGATTAGCTCTAGTTTACACAATTATGATGGTAATACTGAAGTGTTTAAAATTATTATATATATAAAGGTATACATATATGTATGTTCATAAACTACTGGTACTTAATTTATTACTACGCAAACAAAAAAAACAGCTTTAAAATGGATTTACATTTTCAATGTTTGTCTAAATCTCATATTACATGAAATAGCTCATAAAACTTTCAGTAGGAACATATTAGAGTTAGGAAATACTAAAATGAATTTAATGTGAAAAATAGTTGAAACACATATTAACCAAGTTAGTTTTAATATTAAAATCAAATGCGATGATAACTTGGTAGGATTTTGAAAATCTAAATAATATATATTTTTTATATGACGAGTCTATCATAATGTATAATATTATTATTTGAAATATATATATGTAGACTGAAAATAATTCAAAACAGGAAAATGTATCTCTGCATATAATATATATTTATATATATACATATATATACAAAATTTAAATCCAAGCGTATTTTAAAACGTCACACTTCAATACTTGTTACGTATAAGCCTGTGAGAGAATTATTAATAAATAAATTTTAACAGTGAATTATAAATGAAAACTGCTCGCGTATATATTTTTGCTATGAAAAATACTTTATATCCCTAGTAATTTATTTTCAGTGAATATGTGAGCGATGCATAAATGAAATAGCTTTTTCCGATGGATATAAAAATATATGGCTCAAAATTATTGAGTTTCCATTAAGTTAAAAATTTTACGTACTGAATTATTCTTATTAAGGCTGAGTACATATGTGAATAAGCTTCATTATCTATTCAAAATATAAATTATGCTTTTTCCGATGGATATAAATAAATGTCTCAAAATTATTGAGTTTTCATTAAGTTAAAAATTTTACGTACTGAATTATTCTTATTAAGTCTGACTGGATACGTGAATAAGCTTCATTATATATACCAAATATATAAAAAAAATTATTATATATTTTCAGCTAATCGAATACTTATAACATTAATAGTTATTGTCAAAAACATACCAGATTTGGTGTTCACTCTGTCAGCATTGCACGACAATATTCTGGACATCCTATTGTAGGCTGATCTCAAGGACCCCGTACGCGAATTAGTCGAATTATTATAACTCGTAGTATAATACACACCACCGGCGGGTACATCGAACTGAGTGACCGAACTCATTGGAGTCATCTCTTGATTGGTGTCAATAGCATTGATTAGCGAATCATCAATTTTGCGATTCAGAGACATATTGAGTCAGACACGGAGCCTTACGGAGCAGAGACTATATCAGTACGGACGTGCATCCATGAATGAGGGGAGAATTCGGAGTGCACTTGCAACGGGCGGGCGCGCACTAGTCCTCCGCCCGCCCGACTGAGGTCGTTCATAACATATTAACATAGTACCCCCAGGAGCTGAATAAAAACATCGCACCGCCAGCTATACAGTTAATAGTTGGAACCGAACTAAATACTATAGATGATAACAGGTTAATTACTTTGAAGACAAGCTGTATAACACGTGTATCGTTTGAGAGATAATCTATTGAATGAGACAGAAGTAAGTATACCATACAAAAAATACGTCTTCAATATTAATAATAAATATTTTGGAGATATAAAAAATATATTTATTTTATAAAAAATATTATTTAAGTGTAACGTTTATCCAATTCTTTTATCTGTTTGAAAAGTTTTTTGGTATTGTATTGAAATAGCTGTATATTTTGAGCAAAATAAAAACACTTGTAGTAAATTGTAGTTTATAGAAAGCATCTTAAAATTTGTAGAAGTTATTTGTATTAAATTGTCGTCATTAGTTGATTTGAGTTCGATGAAATATGTACAAAATTTCATGATATCTTTATAAATATATTTTATGTCTTACATCAAGAATATTGCGACCGCGGAACATGCATTTTAGAGTATCAAAATCTCGCCAAATAAGAACAAAATGTCTTATAAGATGGGAAGCAAACAAATGCTCCGTACACCGGAAGGCAAAGCAACCTTATTGCATATCTTGGAAAGGAATTGAAATTTAGATATTGGAATTCTCACAGCAAAGGAACCGAGAATACGATTCTTTATTATTCGATAATATATTGTGAGTGAATATCTGCATGCAATTTTCCATTAGTAACTCTCTATTATGACATCCCTTTGTATGTTGGATAACCAGTAAATTGTTACAATGTACGTACAAAGATCTCTTGTACAGAATTAATTACGGATAACTAATTGGTTTATAAGCATTCACCGACATTCACCGACAGCATTTAACGCAAACATGTTGCGGCTTCCGATACATTTAGGACTACACTTGACTAAATCGATTAACATATATTTTGCAACCAAATACATTTAACTAAGTTTATTGCAAATGTAAAGAAAAATACGTTTAAGTCGTATTCAGTACACGATAAAAAGAGCTTTCATAGCACTGTATAGTTAGGAAATCAATTTATATCCTAGCGTTCCCGAGATCTCGTTCACACAATTTATTCTACTGTAACTAAATCCCGCATGAATACGGCAAATTTATACATACAGTCATAGATAATCCCGGGCCCGTATAGAGACAATGGCTGGATTGTCACGCGCTATGATTATAAAACTTCCCTTCCCAGCTTACCGTCTCTAACCTGAACGTAAAGTAAGAGGCTCTTCCTAACTAATTTCATGCTTTTCAATTCATTCCACACAATACTATCCGCAGTTCCAATTATCTCCGATCCTCCGTACAGCTTCCGTTGACCTAATATCCGACGTATGTCAAATCCTCAACAAACTATAAAAATTCAGGAATATCGTAGAATATTCACTAACAAAATTTTCCCACGTCATTTCCAGTCACGCTTTGCTTCCACCTTTCTGACTTCACAAAAGCTCACTATAAAGGATTTTACGAAAAATTCTTGAATATTTCACACATTTAAATTTTATTCTATGAACAGCGTGCATACCTTCACTTGATTTAACTGAAATGTTTTCAGTACACAACAGAGTTCTTGTCAGAACAAACGCTATTTCACTTCGCAGATTATGTTTATAAATGCTAACCTAGTCCAAATATGTGACCAATCTGTGACTTGGCCACGCCTCAACTAGTACGAACATTTTCATGACCTACATTAAAATAAAAATATAAACACCATATGGAACTAGCAGTAACGAGTTCGATGGTTGTTAAAAAATCGATGGAATAAAACATATAAGTTTTTTTTATCACACGCTTGTAACATTACTGGAAATGTATTCAATAGAATCGTTACTTTTTTGCTTAGTGATATGGAAATATAATTGCAATTATAAATTTATATAACAGATTCAGGTACAACCTCGTTAGGAGTCAGTTCAATACAAACTTTTTATATGTCACCCACGCGATTTACGTGTGAGTTATGGTAATTGTTGGTATGTTTTCGACTTACCTGTGTTATCATCAGGCTGGCTGAGTGGTCGTCTTGATGGTGAGGTCTTCTGGTGCGGCTGAGGCTTGAGCACGGCGGCGGGTACAGCTCCTTCGATTGGAGGCTCGCCCGCCACACGGACCAGCCACCAATCGGGTCGTGCTGCCCACGCCTCTAGCACTTCAACCTGCTGTCCTTTAGATACCGACACCTCCCCAGCACCTCCCGACGAGTGGTCAGCTACCACCCAGCTCATCTCAGCTCCAGCCTAACACAAACAATTTAACACTCATTACATATCTTACATAAATCAATATCTCGCCACTACACTTCACTTTAATTAAGTCAAACAGCTTTTTTAATTGTTTGTGTATAGCTAAAATTAATGCATAATTGATTCATCCACCTTGGATGTGAAAGGGTTCGCGTAAACAAATTAAGTTCGTACAAAAGAGACCGCAATTTCACCGGGACTCTGTAATATTTTAATTATAAAAAAATATAATTAGAAACGAAAAAGAAACACTTAGCGCTACTCAACTCAGATTCATGCAAATTTGCTTCCGACTTAAAAATAATAAAAGTCCTTTTATGAAACGTTTTAGTTTCATATTTTATTTGGGAATTCGTCAAATACCCAACTATACTATAACCTATAATCAAGCATCTGTTGTTGGTAGACTATATTTTTTAAATAGCACTTTAAACATATGTTACATACACATAATAAGCAATTTGTAGTAATGTATCCTTAGACGATCGATCGTGTAACATTGTGAATTCAGTTGTAGTTTTTTAACAAAAAACCGGACAACGAAGTATGATTATGAAACAAAGGGTACAGAAAATTTGTAAGATGGTGAAAATATATAAAGAAATTACACGCACGTAGTATGAAAAAGCTATAATTTACATACATTACATAGCTAAGAAGAATATTCACTGTTGTATACTCTTCGAAATAATGCACATAATGAACATCTTGATATTACATAACATCACTCGTTTTTTAAAGATATAATTTTCTTTGATTCATAAGATCGGATTGCATTAGCTTTTATGATTATCACACATGTAAAGAGTAGTTATGGTATTTTATTATTGGACGAAAAAATCAAAGTTGTACATACATATTAATGTTATAAAAATGATTTTTTATATAGTATTAGAAGAAACTAGTGTGTATTCATATTTAATATAGGCACTATACATATATACATATATTTTTTCAATAAACACTACAGTCGAGTTGAGCGGTTCAGGTGACATTCTACAAACACGAGATATATTTCCCATTGAGACGAGTCTTGCATTTCAAAACGGAAACCATTGTTAAATTTTAACATAAAATATAACAAGCGACGAGTGGAAACTCGTATAGAATTATTATATGTATGCATATCAAAGACACCAATTAGAGACGAAGCTGTTTTTAGTATATAAAAATTAATTACTATTCATTTGTTTGTTTTTCTGTACTGTATTTTAAACTAGCTTCCCGTCCGCAGCTTCATCCGCGTGGAGTTCGGTTATATCACGTTTCCAAGAGAACCTTTTAAACGTCTGGGATAAAAACTATCCTATGTTCTTTCTCAAGATCAACTCTATCTCTGTACCAAATTTCATTAAAATCAGTTCAGTAGTTTACGCGTAACAGACAGACACACAGAGTTACTTTCGCATTTATTATATTACTAGGGATATTTATATCTTAACAAAGTGCAAATCCAATAAAAAGTTATAACTCATATATGAATAGATTTGCTGCATTAATTTAACCTATTAATGCATAGAGACAGTACATATAACTTGTTAGTGACAGTCACGTTTATATTCTAATCCACGGGACAATGTCGACAATGCTTTAATCCTAAAACAACCACAGAATGGCATGTCCAATAAGGTAATTCTATAGCTGTCCAACAATCGATATACTTTATATATAGATTGGAATAACATATAATTTACACTATGACCTACATAAGCGAAGTGTTATTCGAAAATCGCATATAAGAAAGAAAAACATTTTCATTTAAATTACCTTTAATTAAAAGATAGAAGCTTTTTATTTTGTACTAATATTTTCATGTTCTGTACTTTCTTTATTAATTAAAATGTATGCTGGTGTCTTGTTAACAACTATATCTCCCATTAAGATTAAGGTTCTAGATACTAAAATAAATCGATACAGGTACATTTTATGCCTGAGTGTTTTTTTGTATTTGATGAAAAATCAACAGCTTAATATACTTTGGGACAAAAGTAACTCCTTCCAAATAGATTTTCGTTTCTTGGTACAAGAACTTCATAAATCCGATAGTTTTTATCCGTTCTCATCCATTTATCTAATATAATTATGGATTAAAGTTTGAGTCTATCTACATATATATTTTTATTCTATATTACATAACTGCACTTATGCCATAGACATAGATTGATCTGTGTACAATAACTTTATTGAATTATTCAAAAGTCGATATTTCTATTATTCTTTTCATAATATACTGGCTTATAAAATGTGAGTATTATTTATGTATTTTTTTCAAATTTGCACTGTTTTAAATTTTGAATAACATTCGTGTATGATCATACCAGGGTTGGAAAGATCTTTACGTTCTCGGTTATTTATGATTTGTTTAGTAAGTTGTACTTTAATAAACATTTATTCAACTCAACAGCTTATATTTTAAAGTAATAAATCAGTACGTATATCTGAAAACTTAAGTAATGAACTTTGTCTGAATATTTAACAATGCCATCAAAGAATGTTCGCCCGATGAAATGGCTAGAGAAGAGATCATAGCTTCGAGATCATTTCTATTTGCACATAAATGAATTTTTGTTCCTCATTTAACGTTTCAAGACATGACAAATATTTCTTTAGATTCAAACTTGCACAAACTAACCACGAATTATCTATACTCAGAGATCTGTGGCAGCCTCTGAAGTCTAAAGACTTTCTCTAAAATTCAAATCCTGAATGTTCGCTCATCGTAATAACTCTGTATAAGGTGAGGTCATTATAATCAAATTTATAAATGACTTTAGTAGTACAAAGAAATGTTTAACTATAATTATAAAATGTAATAATGAATATTTGTTTTTATAATAAAAATAAGTCAACTCGGACAAAATCGCGGGCAACGTGTATTTATTATTGATCAAGTAAAAATAATCCTCAAACACATTCTACATATTAAAGGAACGAAAACAAAGTGATTATAATATTCTCATGTATGAAATATAAGAAAGCTTGTCGGTTGAATGTGAAGCTACATATTTCACTGAAATTTTATAACAATACATTACTACCTAACTACACCAAATATTCTTTATGGCGTTTCCCATTTATTTTAGTTCCGAATACTCTCCTTATAACCTTTCACCATTTTCACAAAACTTTACATTATAAATTATAATCTAACTAGTTTTTGCCCGCGACTTCGTCCGCGTTAATTTCATCATTAGTAATTAGGGCTGTTTTTAGGGTTTTCCCGAAAATGAATCAATTTTTCTCACCTTTTAAACCTTCCCTGAACCTTCACGAATATTTCAAGACTAAGATAAGATAAATCCGTTCAGCCGTTCTCAAGTTTTAGTGAGACTAAGGAACAGCAATCCATTTTTATATATATAGATAGAAGAAGAAGATAGAAGATAATACTTATCGCTTCAAAGACTTGGAAACAAAGCCGTGTGAGCGAGTATCGTTTTATGACGTCAATTTTTAATATTTAATTCCCGTATATATGTATATCAAAGTTGATAATAAAACATGCAGTTGGTTTAGTTGTTATAATTAGGTACCAGACAGTAACTCTGTAAGGGCCGTTCGCCTATCGTGATTGAATTGAAGCAACGCTAAAAGCTATTACCAACGAATTAACTGGCAAAGTGGAACACGTAACAGTTTGTCCACAGCATATGTACACGTATGTAAATTTGTATATATATTATTCAAATTTATAACTATTACCATTGAATATTAAAGCGAAATTAACGAATATATTAAAATTAGATAAGCTTGAAGTTTTTTAATTAATTTTATATTAGATATATCAAATTAAAAACTCATTATATATGTATTCATAATACTGAAAAGTTAATCAGAATTTCACGTAAAAGTTATATGAGGAGTGAAGTATTGCTATGCTATAGCAGAATACGTATTCCCAAAAGCGTAATTCTGAAAGGTTTTCGTTTAAAAAATTCATATTAATTTACTCGAAGCGGCTAAACGGTTTATGTCAGTTATTTTAAACTTTGCATAGTGCTGTCAACGTACATACATATATAAAATTGAAATTTTATACCAATTTTCGTGTCGCTCAACATGACATAATCGAGTTTAAATAAATTAATATATAAGTGGGTTGTATTCATCTAAGTGATTACTTCGCTAGATTCGCTTCCTCAGATTCCGCCCGAGGCGCCAGAGCATTATCTTATAAAATTATTGTAAGAACCGCTAAGAATGAAATATAAAGAAATTTATAATTAACTCGGAAGGGGCTAGCACTTTTATAAATAACGTTAATGTAATAACTGCTTTATTTAATTTTCAAGTTAACAAAAGAGATTTAAAGAACAACATTCTTAAGAGAAAATTCATTTCCGAGTGTATTATATTTAATACCTACTGCAATAAGATTACCGCTGAAAGAAATTTCTAGTTCGCTTGAACAATTAATAAGACGGCGATTTTTAATACTAGAGAATGGAATTTGAGATCAATATAATATTTAACTTGGAATCTATACATTTTTAAGTAAGTAACTGGAATAATTGATTTTTCTTATAAATAACCTGAGAATAACTGAAAAATAACAAATGTATTTGATAACAAATTTTATAACGTGGGTATTAATCGCAAAACAAATTAATGTTGTTTTTTTCCAATGTTTGACTGATTATAATTAAATCGAAGAAAGGTTAAAAAGACAGATCTTTGCGATAACAATAATAATCCTAATGAGAATCTTTTTATAGATTCGTTCTTCTTTAAAAGTATTAACGGATTTTGAATAAATTTTAAAGTAATGTAGTTTATGTTTCAGTATAATATATAGGCTATCATATATGTCGAGTTTCCTTGTAGTTTCCGCGAGATCACGGCCTAACAAGTGTGTTAAGTCACGTGACGATTATTTTATATACATATGTACTTCTGTTATCATTACAATTTTAACATACTAAAAGCAACCTTCTGACTTAAATTACGAAGTAAGTTAACATGGATAAGATGTTTCAAATAACATTTAATTAAGA